CGTCCACACCCTGTCGGCGCGGCGGGGCCCTGGCCTCCCGCGCCGCCCGCGGCAAGCCGGGCCAAGACGTGGCCGTGGTGGCGGGAGACAACTTTGTAAACTGGTACACGGGCGACTGGCCAGGCAGGAAGCCCGGCTCACGGCCCGTGGACATGGGAGCCGCGACGAGGGCAGGGCTGGACAAGTTCGCCGAGACGCGGGATCCCGATCGCAGCGGCGCAGGGAGGGGGAGCGCCGGGAACGGCAGTCTGATGCGGTGCTTGCCCACGGGGCTGTTCCAGCGGGACCCGGATAAGCTGGTGAGGGAGAGCGTGAGGATCAGCAGGATCACGCACGACGACGAGAGGTGTACGGTTTCGTGTGCCGTGTACAACCGCATCGTGGCGGCGCTGATACGGGGCACGGCGCCGGAGAGCGCCGTCGAAGCCGGGCTAGTTCTGGCCGAGAGGCTGGAGGGGAAGAACGGGCTCGTCTCGCAGGCCGTCGAGCTGGGCACGAGGGTGAGCGTCGAGCGGATGGCGAGCCATGGCCCTGACACGGCGGAGATGAAGGGGCGCTGTGCCGGGTATGTGCTGGAGACGTTGGCGGTGGCGGGTGCCGCGGGTTTGGACAGGAGGAGCTTGGAGGATGTGCTGGTTGATGTGGTGAGGATCGGGAAGGATACCGATACGAATGCTGCAGTGGCGGGCGGGTTGCTGGGAGCGAGGGATGGCGTTGAGGCTATTCCGGCGAGGTGGAGGGAGTTGTTGCAGTTTGGGGACGAGTTTGCGAGGATCGGTGTTGAGTTGACGCCCGCGTGAGAAGTTGTTTTCCCTGTGGCGGTTGCCGCTGTTTTGGACAGGAGGAGCTTGGAGGATGTGCTGGTTGATGTGGTGAGGATCGGGAAGGATACCGATACGAATGCTGCAGTGGCGGGCGGGTTGCTGGGAGCGAGGGATGGCGTTGAGGCTATTCCGGCGAGGTGGAGGGAGTTGTTGCAGTTTGGGGACGAGTTTGCGAGGATCGGTGTTGAGTTGACGCCCGCGTGAGAAGTTGTTTTGACCCTGCTTATCAATACTGTTTACACGGTTTTGAGACGCATGGAGTTGAAAGAAAACATTTGACTTGCTGTAGCTGGCAAAATCCTCTGAGACTGGCGGCTCGGTATATTTGTGACGACATGATCCTCGGACCAATTACTTGCAGATTTGCGGTAGTCTATTATCATCTATTCCCGCGACCGTCACGTATGGTAGCTTCGGATTAGTCCTTTCATGCTTCCCTTGTCATGAATATTGGTTGCTGGTCGTAAAAAAAGAGTTATCTCTATTCCATCATCCAAGCGGTCATAGCAACCACAACTACGGCCATATCATCCGCCATCTTCCAAATATCCCAAGCTTAAATTAACCACCACCACCAACCATAATTCAAAACATCAATGGTCAAGTTATGCCGTGGGTTGCCGTCCGCGGAGATTGCTCACCCGAGTCATATCAAAGGCCAACAACCTCTGATACATTCCGAGCGCGGTACCACCACGGACCGACATCAAGCTCAATGAACAACCATAAGACAAGAACTGAAGATAGGTGCAAGCCTCAAAGTTAATCTTGCAGCGGGTTTCATCAACACCCCTCATAAACGAGCATCGATCGACACCGTCGACGACATGATGGGGCCACATGTCTCTCATGGAAGCCCCCAAATAGAAGGCCCAAGAGCGAAATGGCCAGCCTAGACTACCTAGGTAGGTAGGTCGTCAGTCGGGGGAAATCGCTCTGGTGTGGGAGTTCAGACTGATACGGATAGATCTGCGAATACTCCATCTGCAGAGAGGCAATATCGGAGAAGAGAGGGACGCCGGTCGGCACGATATAGCCGCTTCATCAGCAGTTTCCTGGCTCCCATTTCGTCACGTTCATCAACATATAGTATGACTGGAAGAGGTGTAGGTCTAAACCAGCCTCGACCTTCGACAACGTGTAACGGTAGCAGAAAACTCACGGCAGATAACTCCACAAAGTACCGGCGCACAAAGTGTCTCCGCCAGAGTTGGAAGCGTAGATAAGACCCGTCCTTTGCGAGTAACTCCAGATGTCCATGCATCCCCAGCCGGGAAGGGTGTCGAGGCCGACTGCATGCAGCCCAAAACGCACGGAACTGGCGTGCCGACACATCCACCTTGTCAAAGGGCCTTGGTGAGGTTGGCGAGGCTATGGGTAATGGGTGATGGGACCCCTGTGATGGAACAATCAATCTGCGGCGAGACCAGCAGCTCAGTTCCATACCGGAGCGCTGCCTCCGTTGTCGGTTAAGATTTTCGGGTTTCCCCGTGCTCGTCGGGTTTGTCTTGTCCTGGCCACTCGCTGTAGACAAAGGAGCAGAAATAAGGGGCCAAAAAAAAAAAAAAAAAAAAAAAAAAAAAAAAAAAAAAAAAAAAAAAAAAAAAAAAAAAAAAAAAAAAAAAAAAAAAAAAAAAAAAAAAAAAAAAAACCGCAGTCGCGTGTCTCGACAGGCGGCCGAGTGTTGGGTTGAGGGAGCCGGTCGCCGTCGTGATATGCAATCTCCCGTGTTTGGTAGAGCTTTGGTGTTCCAGACTGTGATACTCTGGCTTGTATCATCAATCGCTATCGTCGTTGTGTATTGGTGGGTTTGCTGTTTTGGCCATGTAGATTCTGCCACTGTATTTGATTTTTAACTTTCTGTTACTCCGTACTCCGTATGGTATTCGCAAAAATTAACAAATAAACAACCCAATTTTCCCCGAAGAAAAACCCGTCTATAAATAAATCAGCAACGAAACCGGAGACAATATTTTCCCTTTCCCACTTGACACTGGTGTCAGGTCAAGACTCTCCCTCTCCTTTGCACACCGCGTCTCTTCGGAGAATATTGGGCTGCATACCCGGGAGCCTCGGCTTGTCACGTTGTCCGGTGTCCAGTTGTGTGACCCAACCGGAACGACATTGAATGAAACACGTCGAGTTGCCTGTATTCTTATCCAAGTTGATTCCAGGAGGGAGCTTGGTATCGAGCCACGCCGTTCTGAGGGAACTCAGTCGCTTGAACCATGACAAGAGATGGCTGTGACGCGGCTCCTTCTATGAATCATGAGATTTACCGCAAGTACTGCTATCGGATCGGCAAAACCTTGTTGATCACTCACAGTTGAGATATGCTAAACAAGTTGCTTTCGTTTTCAGGTTTAGCTATCAGCCCGCAGGTTCCGACTATGTCGATGAAATTAAAGTCTAGGCCGGCCGTTTCATTTGAGAATCAAACGCAATGCATGAGCCGCTGCCGTTTTGGGTAAACTGCCCGGTCACTTCGAAACTCTAGGGTGCAGATTGGTAATGGAATGGTTACAGTATGAGGCTGCTTTCTAGTTTCGCAGAGTGCCTTTCACACGAACTTTGAGCACGGCCGCGAGAGAGAGACAATCTCAGCTTTTTTGGTTCGTCTTTGTGCTGGGATTTGTAATGGATTCATTTGACACATGCATGCATGTTTGTGTAGTGTTCGGCAATTGGCTGCATGTTTCACTTATTGGTCGTTGTCTGCAATCAACCTAGTCCTACTACTACGGAGTAGTACTCCATACTGTGTGTCACTTTGACTGGAGATGCTGGACATGAATGTTTTGGCCGTGAGACTTTTGTATGCGGCGAGCTATTGTCTGTAAAGTGACGAGTGCTTTGTCGGTGTGCGGCCGGCCGAGCAGACTGGCGTATCAAACAAAGGTGGTGAAACAAGTTTCGGGCCATTGATCGACATGGAAAATAGCATCTCCTTGGGCGGCGAGGCCGGTGAACGAGGGCCATGCTCTGTGGCTCCATGGCTCTCTGTAGCAGCACCAGTGGGTTCTCAAGTACAGGCAAGACACGGCGACGAGGCTTATCAGAGTGCATGAGTCCATGTTAAGCTCGCCTGTGTGTCTTCCGTACTTTTAAGAGTCACAATAAGCATATCTCCCAGGTGTGAGGCCACAAGGGTCCAGCGCCATCTAGCTCATGGAGCAACAAGGAGCACCCCTTTTGGTTCTGGACTCACATGTGGCGCCTGGTCATCAAGGTTTTCTTGGTATTGCTTGGGGTGCAGCAGCTAGCTCCCTCGACATGTTTTAGGGAGACATGCTGAGCATGGCCAATCTGGGGATGACCGGGGCTGAGGCTATTGGCTACCATTCGTCCACAACGGATGAATCGGCAACGGTTGGCTCGGACCATTCTGTTTTGAGCTCTTCATCATGGGGGCCTCACCCTTTCTTTGATCGACGACGTCGCCCTTGCTGACGATCCGGTGCCAAGTTACGTACTCGTCGCTCGTGTCCTCGCTGCGCCCACAATCCCGTAACCATCGAGGGTGACTCGGGGCAGTGCAGCCTGCAGACGGCAGGTAGCAGCCGGCTTTAGAAGCCAAAGTCAAAAAGCCAATCTGTCCTCCTTCGCCCTCGGCCGTTTGTGGGTGGAACTAGAAAAACAACAAGAACAAGGCCAATGTCAGTGCAAAAACACAAATCCAACGGAAAAGTGGGTTGGTTGCTGACCAGGTGAGTGATGGGGTATTTTGGATCTGGGACCATTCCAGCTGGAAGCAATAATAGTATACTTCGTACGAGCGGAAAAAAAAAGAGAGAAGTAAATAAAAAAACGCCAAAACTCGTTGGCCAGCTGCTACTCTGTGCCCCGGACAATCCTGCGCAGTCAATAATCGCGCAGAGAACATCATGTCGGTAAGCACTGACAGACCGTGCTCCGCCACCTTGGATGAGTTGGATGAGAGATACAACGGCAAACGGGCAAAACAAACCGCAAACAGGCCGCGTCGCACGAGAGGACGACTTCCAGACGATCAACGACGGCGGCCACACCAAGCTTCGGGAATAAAGCTTGTGTCCGCCCCATAAAACCTTTTAGTCCTTCGATGATCCAGCGCCTGCTCCATGCACCCCCTCCGACGTACCTGCTCTTTGACTCCCAGACGCCCTCGTTCTCACCCCACACATTATCCACAGTAGGCTGCAGTAATAAGCAGGGATCCCTGGACGCCAAGTCGCCAAGTCGGTTCAGACGGCATCTCAAGCGTGGCCAAGCTTTACGTCGTTCCGCGCACCTTATCTGTCTTTCCTTCTTTCCTGGTCCTGGCACTGGCCCATGAGTGGCCCAAACCTGGCCGTCATATCGGTGCTACAGTGTGACGCGTTGGACGCACGGGTGAATACAAATTCCTCTCGACCAATATGTAGCCTTATTTGGATTAAAATAAAAAAACATGCCGCTCGGGCACTCCGTGTCTGAGTTGTTGATATATGACTCCCTAGCAGCAGCAGCAACGAGGCGTTCAATAGCCAAGACTTGAGGAGTCCCATATCGTGCCACGAGGCTAGCAACGCATTGTGTGTATTTGCCCCATGCTGATCCTGTCGAATCCCTTTCTTTAGGCTGAATTGGATGGCAGCGCTGGGGGAAAGCGCTTATACACATGTACAAAACACGGTAACCGACAGTTAGCACAGGGGCTGCGAATAGTCGCAAACGGTCGTACTGGCGCCCATAATTTGGACCCGTTTCCTCAGCCAGTCTGTCCCCATCACACACGGTGCGAATTGTAAAATTTCTTGCCAAGCCTAGTGGCTTGCAACGCTTAAATTCATGCTTAAAAGCCCGAGTCGCACTGGACGAGAGCGCAATTGAGGGGCCAAGGGCGCCGAGTTAGCCGTAGCGTGTCGCTCGGCCAATTTCCACCCCCCTTCGCTCTTGCCTTGGTTCGTTTGCGCCATATCCATGGAAAGGACCACATTAATATGGTAAATTGTGAAAGTTCCTATTGATGCTTACATTTAGCCGCTGCCACGCGAGCTTAGCATCGCGTTCAAGGCAAATACGTGTGATGTCGTTGTCGCTAACCCACGTACGTACTTTGTTCGGATGGTGCCAAGTGTGCCGAGGTGCCTAGTTTGCTTGTTTGCCCTTGGCTCGCTATGCCACTCTCTCTCTATCTATGGCTTGGCTACAAGTAGACGGCAGAGGGACGAGCGGAGCCTCTC